TAGCCCGGAGCGGTTACAGCGAATAAAGCGCGGTGGGTCAGACGACAGTTGTGCATACGCAATACGTGCCTTAGGCAGCGAAGTCTACTAAACTGAATTCGATGAACTGGCAAGTTTATCCCTGATAAGCTCCCAAACACACGACGGCTTACCTCTACGTTACCAACTCGTTCGCTCCATCCAATGTGGGCTAAACTACTTCAACACCGGTAATCAAAAAATTCCAGTCGACGGACATCATCTACTCGCAAATTCAAGATCTCATTACCATAAAGCAGAACCCAACGACCGCTGGCACAATACACACGACCTTTCAACTTTGATGAAACGTCGCATCTACGCCAAAGGTGTTTCAATCGTGCGTACACCGCTCGAGCCTCTGAAATGCGGGCGGTTATCTTCTTTGATGCAAACGAAATTGGTGTACACTTAATGAGAGCCTCTATAGGCTTTTGTATGGTCAACCAGGCGTCTCTCGTAATCTCCGCTAAGAAAGCCTTGCTCATTGTATCCACGTGACGGAGGTGCTTGCCCGACAAAGTAAGAGGCTATTACAGGGTCGGTGAACTACTTGCAGCTCACCTGCGGATGAGGAGAGGGGAGTTGACCAAAAGCTCAGCTTAAAGATCAACCAATAATCGACGTAGGAACGACGTGGTATTCGTCACATGATTGGAATCGGGACTGAATTCTGAAAACACTGGATTCAAGTGATTCAAACAAAAGAAATTGATCAGTTTCCATCTTACTTGCAAATAGTTGAACGAGCCAGCCAAATGCGGTTTCGGAGCCACTTTTGGTGCTTTATGTATCCCGCTTTCGGATCGGGGCTGCAAATCGGCAGACGTTCGACCGGAACTGGGCCAATCGACCGGTTGTAAATGTTCCGGTGGATGATACTGTGGACAATCGGCTGTCGGGGTTGGTGGTGGTGAAACAAATGAACTTCGGGGCGGATTGACCGGACCACGAGGCCCATACGGATCCCGAACGGATGGGGCGGCCAAAAGCTGAACGGGGAACGGTTGAATTGCAAGTCAGAATGAAGCGTTGTTTGGTGGTGTGTGAGTTATACGACAATGCGTCAGAAAAAGATTGACTGGAAGCAGAAAAACTTACCGGAGACGAGGAATTCAGCGTGGATTTCGGATGAGGGGATGGGGAATGGGAAAGTCGTAGTCCGGTGTCAGAAGTGCCTGGTACAGGGCGCGGTGGTAAGCCTTGAGAAGAATTTGTGAGGTACAAAGAGCTTGATTTGCCCGAGCCAAATTCTCCACGAACGACGGATACGGGCGGTATAGAATCGGTAAAGTTGGGAAAATGATTACCAGTTCCATCCTTGGGTGATTCATTCGAACTGTCTTGACTGCCGCTTTTGGTTCTGAGGAGAAAAAATAAAGGGTGGGGGGAGATTTATCATCTAGTCAATCGCAAATCTATCAATTTAGTCCAGAGCGCCAAGTTTTGCTTGCCTATTTACTGTTAGTGTTCAAGAATTATTCTCATTTTTTAAGCAAAAAGTTATTATATAATGCGAGAGTGCACACCAACATGTGGCCGAAAAATTCATTTTCAACCGTGCATTGCTGAGCTTCAGATAGAGATACGACTGTCAGTACGATTCACTTGACGGCCGGAAGCCGATAACTGCCCCCGCCCCTGGTTTTCGATACTTCCCCAGGGTAATTGATTCAGACGACGGTTGATTTGTAAGGCTAAACGGGAACGGGAAATGTGTGAGCTTCGACCTAGACAGACATAAAAGGAGACTGGTAGGTGATATGTGATCATCTGTCCCGGGTTAAACGCAGTCGTGTGCAACGGTGCAGTCGACGAGGAGCTAAAAAAATCCATAGGGTACAGCGACTGAACAACGGAATGCAAATTAATTTGTGCCCTTTTCCACGAGGAACCAAACAGTCAGTGCAAGAGGTGAATTTTGACTGAATTCCCGATCTTCCTGATTCGAGTAATTGAAAGTTAATTATTGTTTGTTCATTGAAAACTAAACGTTCACTCATGGTTACATCCAGCTCTTGATAGGGACTACATTTTTTATAACACATCTCGGTGTAATGAACAGCAGCTAACAACTGCTTGGGGCATTCAAACGACTCCTAGTTTTGTAACAGCTTAGATCTAGGAATGGAATCAAATGCAGAATAGTAGTTCAGTCAGCATGTAAGTCTGCACTACATTCGTGCGAAACAACCATTACAGTGAACGAATAACGGGAACCAGTAAAGTTTCTCTTTCGAACATGAAAGACACTACTCACCGTCCACGTTGTGGATCTCGATGTAAACGAGGTAAATCGGGCAACAATTCCGGAGCGAATGTGGGCAATCGATCCTCGTTCCAGCGGGACGTGTGTACAACGGCGTGTGATGGCGGTTTCAGCGTCTCTGACATGGGTTCATCCAATTTGCTTGGCTGTTCATCCGGTGAAGCCAAATGAGACACATCAGCTACCACTGGACGGGTCACAGAAGCTGGAAGTGAAGCCACTTTGGTCGAATGGTTTAGCTGTGATGCGACAGGCAAGCGTTGCGGACTTGATCGATAGGAAGTGGGTAAATCCGGTCCAGATGGATGACCAGGTACCACTGTGTCCATGGAAGTTGGAGTCATACTGCCGGAAGTGCGAGGTGTAGCCAAACTGTAAACACGAGAAAACCCAGAACTCAAATTGATTAATCATCATCATCATTGTACAGCGTAATACAGTGAAGCGAACTTCAATGATCGCTGCCAAACTCCTATTGTATAAAAGGTAAGTGATAATGTGTAAGGAGGATAGGGATTGAACTTAATTTTAGGAACGGGTAAGAAAAGCAAACCACTATGGTCAGCAAACAGAGTACACAGTCCAACTGTGCATAAACAGTATTCCAAGCATTCTGATCTGATGAGAAGCGAAAGCATGAAAGCCATTGCTATCGGTTCGCAGCCGTGACTTTTAGTGTCTCCAACCATGCGGTTTCAGAGTCTTTTGGACCCCAACCCGGAAGAGGAGAGACACCTGCTCTACCTAATCGCTCAGTTCATTTTTTTATGCTTCGTCTCCACGTCATTTGCTCACCTCCACGTGACTTTCTCCAGTCTGCAACAGCAACTGTGAATAAGGCGCGTAGGCGACCGTCGGATATACGCAAAATGTGTCCTAACCAACGGAGCCTATTGAGCTGGATTTTATGCGGTAGCGAGTTCTTGTTCGATGAATTCCCAAACACCCGGCGACTTATTTCTAAGTTAATAACCCCCTCACTTCATCCCACTTGGGCCAGACTATGTGAACACGCGATTGTCCAGTTGATTGTAACATTATGATGATTTCTACTTTAAAACAATCTCATGGTCAGAGTCCAGAATAGGTGAAATTTTGGCAAAATCATCTAAATAACAAAAAACATCAATATATGATTGGTTTGTGAGCGCAATAATTTCCGGTTGTCCAAACCAAAACAGCTGATTATCTCAGGGGTTCATAAAAGAAATGTTCAGTTAACCAACGACTCAGGCAAATCAGTGGGGCAGTTCACTCTCCACAATATTGACCCAGGCATGTCGGGTCACTTTTAAAAGAACACAACAAGGGCTTGGAGAATGAAATGTTCAAGAGATATTCATAAGTTGATTACGGTCGTACAAAACACTGATTCTATCGTTTGATCAAGAAATCAGTCGTGGATAATCGTTTCGAAGTAGAGACGTGTCTCGTTTATATCCGGATGATTTAGCTGATGATGGATGCATGGATGTGCCAAATACACCCATAGACAAGGCAGGGTAACTCATCTGTGAATGATGCAATGGGTTATTGAACAGGGATTATGAGGCCACACAACTAAACTTTACATTTCAAGTAGGATATGGATGTTTGCAAATAAATACCGTTTGTAGATCAGAAGAGCACTGACATGGCTTAGATTTCTTCCACTGTTCTGTTATGG